ATCGGGATTTTCGAAACGACTTTCAAAATATTTAGGAATTTTTGGAACTAATTTCGGGATTTTTGGGACTTTCGAGATTCTCGGAGTTAATAGCGGGACTTTGGGGAATATTTCGGAATTATCGGGATTGTTGGGACTCCTGGACTATTTTTGGATTTTTAGGACAAATTTCTAGTTTTTGGGACTTTCGGGACTACAGTACGTATAAATATCGATGCTGCTCTGCAATAACGACATAATTCAAAATTCAAAAAACCGTTACTGCTGTTAAGTGGCTCTTGTCTCTAATCCTTGTCTAATCCATTTCCAGCCCTTACTAAAGTAAGCAGTAAGGATTGCTAAAGTAATTACTAAAGATGGATCCGACAAGGATTGGAGACATCGAGTCACTTAACATTAGTAAGGTTTTTTATTTTTTGAATTTTAATAACTAATTTACCAAGAACAGATATTTTTAGGTATTTTTGAATTACATTTTTCTAATCTTGTCAGTCTTTTTTGCGCGTATTGAAAAAACGTCTGTGTAATGCGGTCAAAGTCGGTGTCTTCAAGTGCGAACTTTTGCTTGAATGCATCTGTACACAACATAAAGTAACGTTACATATTTGTAAGCATACAAATTATAAAAGTAAAACCTACTACGTATTGCCAATGTGATTCGAAGGCCTCTAACACACTTTTTCGTATCTGTTCCACGCCAGGAACATTGTCTTGCTACATCATCCGATATCAATAGGCGCCAGGAGCTCCTGATAAATTTATCATACGTTTTTTCAGAATTGGCGACTAATTCCATGACCTTGAGAAAAATGTGAAATTTTTTATTAGATACGATTTAATTTCGAAACGTTAGCTATAAACGTCAATCTGGCCGTGTTGACTGGGCTACTTACCACATTTTTGAAGGACTGCTCTTCTTTGATACTTTCTTCAAATGCTTCGAAGGCCTCAAATGTAACTAATGGAGACATTGGCAACGTCAATTTTGGCTTATGTGCCTCGCCGCAAACTCGTGCTTTTATAGCTGAAACTTCACTCCTTAAAGAAATTAGCTCAGCACCTTGACGATCAATTTTGGTTAGTAACTGATCAATTTTATCAGTTGTTCCCCGCTGAGTTTCCATAATTTTCTTTATAAGGTTCAATATGTCTGTAAATTTAATAAATAAATCTTGTTAGTAGGCGTTAAATAAGAAACTGTTTTATTGCATTACTTATTGCAGTGGGTGCTTGGAGCACTATTAATATCTGAAATAGATTATACGTGTAATTAATAGAATATATACATATACATATATTGTTTATTGGTTGTAATATATCGTCAATGCCTTTGCAAAACCACGACGGTTTATATTATGTTTATATTTTATCAGTGTTTTACCTTCTAGTCTATAATTTGGTATATTTTTGTCGCGAACTCCTCTTTCACTGACATCTAAATTGAATATGTAGGATGAATTCATATTTATTGGTCTGAAATTAGTCAATTAAGGGTAAGTAAATATGCATTTCACTGCCCTCAAAATGAAATATTTTTCCTGATATTTTTTCTATATTATGTTGAAATATGTTCGAATCGAAATTGAGCCCTTTTGGAGCGAATATGCCTACAAAAGTGGAGTTTATTGGAAAAGTAAAAAACGGTTCTAAATCAATAACTAGATGGCTATGCAAAATTTTATTTTTACTTTTAATAATTTTAGAAATTATATATTTGTTGTTGTCTTTTAAAAAGTAAAAACAATCACATTCTTTTGCATCAAAATACCAGTGATTATATGAAATTTTGCCATTGGACCCATTTAACTTCACAAGTTCCTCTTTGAGGACGACTTTTAAGATACTGCGTTCTACAATTCGGTTGTATCATTGCTCTAAGGGGTAGTTGGATTTTTTCAAAATTTTTTTTAGTTGCCCTAAGAAGCTTTCAAATGGAAAGGAGCTTATAGTCTGTAGAGAACCATATTGTAGAGTTTGCTGGCTTAAATGTGTTAAGCAATGAAAATTAAATGTGAGCATTGAACACATATAAAAAGAAGGTACTTGACTTACAAAGTCATCTAGCAAACCAGATGCAAGAGAGTTTTGTGTTACACAATACTCGTTGTGGAGAAGAAGTCTAATTCCTAAGCTAAGTAATAGAAAATGATTGTACAAACCTGTACCTAAAACGTCCTTAAATACCATAGGACCTGTATACAGTAAAAACGTGCGAAACTCTGTGGCCTTAAATCTTTCGAGATCATCTAGAGATCTAACTCCTCTATTAAATTCCCTAGGTAAAAACTTTTTTAAACACGTTAGTTTATTATTTAGTGAAGTTATGGAGTGCCTACTTAAAGAAAATGTGTGACCTTTTGCTTTCGTTAAAGCTACAAGCACCGATTTTACGAGTCCAAGGCAAACAACGTGCATATAACCTAAGGGAAAGTGATTCACCATATCAATTGGCAAATCTTCAAGAATTAGTTTGCCTTGTATATTGTGGTGCTCTGGTTGAACACGGTTTCGAAAGCTATCATTAGTTCGTTGTAAGTTAAGTGATTTTCTAAAAATGAGTCGTCTATTAAAACTTTCGCCCTTCTGAATGCAAAGGTTGCATGAATAAAATCCGGAGTGATGTTTCACACCTAAAATAAAAGCGCGGGCTGGAGCATCGCAAATAAATGCTCTGATTGATATTTGGAACATCCTATCTTGAAATACCATGCCCTTCGTAACTAATTATCCTAATTCGCAGACGAATTGTTCCAAATAAACATTGGGATTACGAGGCTTTGAATTACCTACATATATTCCAGCTACTAATACTGGCTTTGTACCATTAACGTTAATCAAAATGGGCCATGCTTATTTCTGTGTACTCTTATACAACGGAAGGAAGATGGATAATTAAAGTTCATAAGGAAATCTGTTAAGGCATCTTATAATTTACATACTCGCCTGGCTCTACACTACGTTTTACAATAGTGCGTGGTGTACTTTTTAAAGTACGTATATCTTGTGGCAAGCCAGGAATTTTTTCACCCAAGAGCAAAAGCAGTTCATTCCCTGCACTTTTGCTGACATATTAGCGGATAACAACTGCGCTAAGCGAAAACTGAAATCGGTTGAACCGGAATGCTCTGTAGATGGTAATTCATTGTTATCTGATAATAATGAATTTAATTCATATTCGCTCTCTAGTATTTTACTAATTTTATTATTTTCATCAACCAACTCAATTTCTACTGCGGCTCGTTTTACATGACGAGCCTCACAAATATATTTCCGACTTTTTCTTTTGTAAGCCATTTTCACGTTACTATTAAATATAACAATTAAAATTGTATACTTACTTTTTACACCAATTAAATAAAGGAAAGGACACAGAAACTTATTAACAACAAAAAAGCGAATCTAGTTTTCAATAACTATTTTTTAATTATTCACTGTCACACATTCCAGTTTGACAAATAAAACAAAACTATTATTTTACAATAGTACAAGTAGAAAATTATTGCTCTCTCATTTCTATCACAATATTCACGCTGCAATGCTCGTGTGCGAGGGTTTTACGATCACAAAAGTTTTCCAATCGTTTTTTGCTCAGATTCGAGCTCGTTTACGGACATCTCGCTAAAGGCTCATGCACCCGCATTTATATCACAATATTTACGCTGCACTGCTCTTATGCGAGAGTTCTACGATCAAAGAAGTTTCACAATCGTCCTTTGCTCACATGCGAGCTCGTTTGCGGATATTTTACGACACTCTCTCTAAAGGCTCGTGCGCTGGTCCGCTGGGTACATTCAAATTTTAATGTTTCGACAGATTTGAGTGAAAATAAAAACAAACAAATGAAATGACGTCGAGAGAAATTTTTAAAATGCTAGCAACCGTCAAAATTCCCAAAGCTGGCTCTCAGCGATTGTACCTTATAAATATTTTTATCATGATTGAGAAATTACAAATTGATAATGAGAAATGTAAACGCATATTGAGAAAGTACAAATTGATAATGAGAATTGTAAATTCATATTGAGAATATATAATCTCATAATGAGAAACGTAAACTGATATTGAGAAAATACAAATTGATAATGAGAAATATAAATTTATATTGAGAAAATACAAATTGATAATGAGAAATGTAAATTCATACTGAGTATATATAAATTGTTAATGAGAAAACGTAAATTCATAATGAGAAAATACGTACACTCAGGCCTATCGCTAGGTCGTTAGCGAAGATAAGGAAGCAAAACCAAGAGGTGTAAGCGACCGAAAAAGCTGACTGAAGACAACGTGATGACTATGTTCTCCTGGCTTGAAGGTGACTGCAGTTTTACCCTTGGACAATTAAAAAGAAAAGTACAAAACCAGTTTAATGTAGAATTGAGCACCACAGCAGTGGCAAATTATCTCGAGGGCAATCTGTACAGTTGCAAAAAAGTCCATACGCAACCAATAACCATGAACTCGCAGGATAACAAATTAAAACGAGCTGAAAGGGGTAAACAAATAGCATTGAAGGATGAAACAAATTTTAACCGAATGTCACGTGTCCGGTAAAAAAAAATTCCCACCGCGCCACTCTACAGCTCCCTGCTTCCAGAGGGCCAAACGTCCACTTTATTGATGCAATAACCACAACTGAAGTGTTACACATCAGAAGGCAAACGAGGGCGCTCACACGCAGCGGGGGTGTAAATGCGTTGTCCAACTTTAACTTCAGGTTGTATATATTATAAATTTTTTTGTCAGTGTCCTTTGATGCTTGCTTTAATTCACCTAATATCGCGAGATTAGCTCGGAAATTACGTTTTCTATATATTCTCATTATGAACTCACATTACTCATTATCATTTTATATATTCTCAATATGAATTTAAATTTCCCATTATCAATTTTTATTTTCTCATTATGATTTTATATTTCTCATTATCAACTTATATATTCTCAATATAAATTTACATTTCTCATTATGAAGTTGTACTCTCTCAATATGAATTTACGCTTCTCATTATCAATTTGGGATATCTCAATATGAATTTACATTTTCTCATTATAAACTTGAAAAGGTGTAGTATTTTTCTGTCTATTTTGAACTACATGGGCATGCGGTTCATACTAGTTGTGAGATATTTTACAACTAGTACATTTGACTACAGGGACCAAAAAACACTTCTCAGCAATCCTGCAGGTTAACTCTTGATATTGGCGCAGTAAATCTAAGCGTTTAGTACTACAGTCGAGTTTAATTTTATTTGCCAAAAGATTAAATTTATTTGCCAAAAGATTAATTTTATTTGCCAAAAGGTTAAACTCATTTGCTAAAAGATTTAATTTATTTGCTAAAAGATTAATTTTATTTGCCAAAAGATTAAATTTATTTGCCAAAAGTTTAACTTAATTTGACTTACAAACGAAATACGGGCAGGCATTTCGAAACTTCAACCCTGTTTGTGTGAAGTATTTTATTTTTATCATTAAACAAGCTATAGTTAATTTAAGTCATCGTTTTTATTACTTAAAAATTTTGTAAATTATAAGAACATTGAACTAGTGCTTAACCTATATCAGTAGTGGCATTCTGACAATCGCTACGCTAAATTTTCGTCGCCAAAATTGAAATGTAGTGGGGCCTAAAAGTATACTGTATGGAAAAGAAATAACTAATGTATAATCAGCCAAACCTGGCAGTATGAGGCGCATGTAACTAGATGTTGCGTGTTGTTAGGCGTACCGGCTATTCTTTTGGATATTTTTGGCTATCAAAATTAGCGATAGAAAATGTAGGGCTGACGAACCTAACTGCACGTCTATACCCGCTATGGGCGGCTCGCATACGAACTGTCACTTTTCTGGCATACGAAATCTTATCGCAGATACATTTTTGTATGTGGCCATTTCATCGCATATCATTTCAGTGCGAATTTGTTGTACGATTTTTATAAATGTTGCGAAAACTCAATTTTTCTAAATTGGTTGTGCCTGAAGATTATTTCCCCGAATAACACTCGGAATAAAAGCAAATATGTGATAGTTGCTAAACCCATAGTTAGGTATGCAATAAAAGGTATGATATATCTCTTATATACCTTCCGCGATGAACGGTCTACACCTGCGATATATCTCTTAC